AGTCTCCTGTATGTTTTCTAAATAAATATTTGTTTTTGATTTTTATTTCAGCCAAAGAGAAGTTATGCTATTGACGGTGATATAACTGATCAACTAGGGCTTGTTGAGGACAAACTGCAGACCTTGTTGAACCTGTTGAAGCTAAAAGACACCAACGCTGTAATGAAAGCACTTTCCGGAGTTGAGGTACATCTCATATTATTGTCAATGGTGTATTAATCGATTCTTAGGAGTGCACTCATGTGACCATTATACTAATACAACCAGAACGTATGTATTTTAAAATGTGTGTTTTTTTTTCTTTTTTCAGTTCCAGGAATACATAGAAAGCTCTCTGCCAGATGAAAATGTTAGGATTCAAGTTCAGGAAGAAGAAAACACATATGAATCAAGTAAGTCAATGTTAGAGTATATCATTTACATTGAATTGCACAAGTCATGCTGAATACCATGAGATTTGGTGAAAAATCTGCTACCTGCTAATATTATACAGGTATTTGTCTTGTCTGAGTCTGATATCCAGATTTATCATCCCTCAAGTGGCTGTTATTGCTGAGACCAATAACAGCAACTTGGGGTACAATATTATTGATATTGGTCAAAGTCATGGTCAATAACTGTCTTATTATATGGAAAGAGAAAAACATGACAGTAAATATTAGGTGAAACTGAAGAAGAATTTCCTGAGTTAACTCAAAACTAACCTTGTGTGGAGAAATTCATTTGAGAGTGTTACCCAGCATCAAATGTAAGATATACACACTTGCAGAAGCCAATATCAATATTTATCTAATGATCATGTGACCACTTTTGACAAATAATATTTATTGTCTTACTGTGTTTTAATTATATTTTCAGATGAGTTGGACTATGACAGCCAGGATAATGAAGAAACACCAACACGACAGGACATTAAAAATCGTGGCCAGCAAATCTTGGAGAAAAAGACAGACAGACGAAGTCGCAAAAGGAAAAACTAAACCTTATACATTGGTTGAAAAAAAAATTGTCACATAAAATATGGAATTGATTGAAGATATAATAAAATGAATCATGCATAAATTATATTTGTAGTGTGTTGTGTACATTTGTTAGTCTCTGGTACAGTCTAGGCCTATTTATTCTTAGTCTTGATTTCCTGTACTTCGAATTGCATTTATGATTGTCTGGCTGTTCAGTTTTCCAGTTCGTATGTACTGCCCTCACCGATATGTGTCTGAAGCGAAGCTGGATACGACGATACTGGGCGTCTGAGGTTAAACATTAGCAAGGAGTATTTTCATAAGCTGTAATCAATTGTTTTTATTTTCGTAATAATGTAATTTAAATAAATAAGAATTGTAAATTCGTATATATACATGGACAAGGTGTTAAATGTAATCAGATATTTTATTTGTCCGTAATTTGTACAAAGATCTTATTTTTTGTAAGTGTATAAAGCATTTCCCACATTAAATTTTGTAATCCGTACGCAATTTCCAATTTTGTTCCTTAAACACACATTATCAAATATATCAAATATATTATAAAAGTGTAAAATGTAATTAGGAATTTGCTTTATCTGTAAAGTGTAAAAACTTTCATTTTATTTTCTGTAAAATGCCTTTTTTATTTCCTGTAACTTGTACAAGCTGCTATCCCCCTTGCCCCCTCTTTCGTTAAACATGTTTTGGGCCACTCTCTAATACGAGGAAAATGCGTATACTTGTGGTGTCTACATCGCGCGTTAAAATTTGCATATAACATTAGCGCGTAACAAAGATTGACAGTGATAAAGGAAAGAGTGGTATAAACAAAGATCAGTGATTACTTGAAATCGATATCAGAAGGGGGGGGGGGTAAAAAAAAGAAAAGTTATATAACATTTTATTATTTAATAATTTATTAAAATACATAAGTTTGTCCAACTCCCTGTGGTTAAACCGTGGACTTGAAGTTGCATTCCCACTGCAAATATGTCAAACATCACTATTAGAACAAGCTAAAAACATAAAAAGTGTAAATAAATAAATTTAAACGTAGATGTCCTGCCGTCTTAAAACATTTTATGTTTAGTTCTTGTCTCGTAGATAGACTTACCTACAAGTACAATGTAACTGACCACCACGAACAAACAACGTCCACAAAGCAGCGAAAACGCTTTTTTTTCACAGTCATTTCATTACTTCGCATTTTTGCTATTTCCAGGATTTTCGTACTTTCGGGAAAAAAACAAGACTTGATAACAATTCAATTGTGAAATCGACATCGTTCATTTAACAACTTTGTTTTAGTTGTGTTTGAAGATATGATACTACACTTCAAAACAATATGACGCTGTAAAGCGACTACCTGCATTTCACCACAGCCCCCCCCCCCCCCCGGAACTGTGATTTCACTCATGTACATAACAAAAGCTTCTTCGTCATTTGAGGGCGCTGATTATAAAGGCATGCTAACATTACAAGTTGGTTTCTCAAAGTTCTCCCTAACAAACTAGCCGAGCGTGGTAAAACCTAACTAACCCCGTAAACGTCTTGCTTGAGTACACACTATTTTCACCTGATCACATTACAAATCGTTTTAGAAATTTTAAAACAAACATTGCTGTCCCTGATCGCGGAAACATAAACTCAAACGCCCCCAGCTAATAAGACTCCCTAAAATGACTAGCTTTAACGAAAATGCGTCTCTTGTGTTTGTAACACTTTACCAGTATCTTCCTTTACATATTGATACACGAGACAATCACATGATACACTGTACTGAGAGAAGCAGTCGGCAGTTTATAAACAAAAATCATCTGATTCGACCACCGCGGATTTGTGTAGTGTCTTTTTCTTTAGGCAGCTAGAGGGTCTCGCCCTGTTTTCTTTTACTCGAGGGCGCGAGATTTCAGCGTGTGAAACTTGTATTGATATTTTGAAGCAAATTCTTAAGAGCACCTCGGTCCCGGAGACAATAGGTATGTAGAGACACGTCGTAACCAGTGATTTGTGTGGCCGAAATGTTCCGTACATGTTTGAGATTGAAGTAGAAGGTGTCAGGGCCTCCGGGGAACGGTGGGACCGCGGTTCGTGTTGTTTAGGTAATCTTGATCACTGCACGACGTAGTACACTGTCAGGCCGTGTTACCAATGAAATATTACCGTTTATACTTCCGGCGTCTTCGGGTACCCACGATTTGTATTTGTTTTTTGTCATTTATTTGATGTAACATTTCATTCAGCAAAATACCAAGAATTTAACCTTCAAATATCGTCATTTTTTAGTATGGGATGGACCAATTACTTAGAAACTCTCGGTGAGGCGACGGCAGAAGAACTTTGCAAAATATTGTTTTCTTTCAATTAGTCTATTGCTAATTTTTTGTTCCCATCATGAATTTTTCTCAATGTCGAATAATCAATATTTTTCCTTGAGATTTAGGCTTGCAGATGTTATTGATTGCTGCAGGATTATTTTTTTTCAAATTTTTTTCTGTGCAAATTATAGTTTGCAATTATGCCATTGCCCCAAGAGTTTCTAATGGTCCCCAGAGCAACATAAAGTGATTATATTTTGTGCAATGTTTAAACACACTGTAGCAGCAGCCACAGGATAGTTATGTTGATATGTAAATGTATGTAGAACATACAAGTGTACTCCAAAATCAAAAATTACCTTTTTTCATTGATTTTTAAATTCAATGCCCTGACCCCCCCTCTCCCCCCAGTTCCGAAAACATTACCCCGCCATATTTTGGAAACCATGCCCACTTTTGTGAAACCATGCCCAAAATGGAACTCAATGTTCAATTAACAGTACCAGATTCTTGAGTTACGGGCAACAAACATTTTGTTTTTTGTTTAACCTCCACATTCATATTCAGTAACTTTAACTAACTTAAATGTTAAATAACAGTTAACCAAAAGTTGAGTTACTGGCAACATATATTTTT